GTGGACCCCACAAATGCATTGCCAACTAATCTTCAATAAAGGAGGAAAGAGTATCCCATAGAAAAAAGACAGTCTCGGGGCGCCCGGGTGGCTTAGTCGGTTAAGCGTCCGACTTTCGCTCAGGTCATGATCTCGCGGTGCGTGGGTTCGAGCCCCGCGTCGTGCTCTGTGCTGACTTCCAGGAGCCTGGAGCCTGTTTCAGAGTCTGTTACTCCCTCTCTCTCTGACCCTCCCCTGCTCATGCTGTCTCTCTCTCTCCTAGAAATAAGTAAATAAAACATTAAAAAAAAAAAGAAAAAGAAAAAAGTCTCTTCAGCAAATTGTGCTGAGAAAACTGGACAGTGACACGTAGAAGAATGAAACTGGACCACTTTGTTACACCATACACAGAAATAAAGTAAAAATGGATGAAAGCCCTAAATGTGAGACAGGAAACCGTCAAAATCCTACAGGATAAAACAGGCAACTACCTCTTTTACCTCAAACGCAGCAACGTCTTACTAAACATTTCTTGGGAGACAAGGGGAACAAAAGCAAAAAATGAACTATTGGGACCTCATCAATGTAAGAAGCTTCTGCACAGCAAAGGGAACAATCATAGAAACTACAAGGCCATTGACAGAATTGGTGAAGATATTTGCAAACGATATATCGAATAAAGGGTTAGTATTCAAAATCCATAAAGAACTTGTCAAACTCAACATCCCCCAAAACATAAATAATCCAGTGAAGAAATGGGCAAAAAACCTGAATAGACACTTATCCAAAGAAGACATTTGGATGGCTAATAGACACATGAAAAGATGCTCAACATCATTCATCATCAGAGAAACACAAATTAAAACCACAATGAGATACCAGCTCACATCTGTCAGAATGGCTAAAATTAACAACTCAGGAAACTACAGATTTTGGCGAGGATGTGGAGAATGGGAAACCCTTTTGCAATGTTGGTGAGAATGCAAACTGGTGCAGCCACTCTGGAAAACAGTATGGAGGTTCCTCAGTAAATTAAGAGTAGCACTACCCTACAGCCCAGGAATTGCACTACTAGATATTTATCCAAAGGATACAAAAATGCTGATTTAAGGGGCCACATGCACCCCAATCTTTATAGCAGCACTATCAACAATAGCCAAGTTATGGAAAGAGCCCAAATGTCCATTGACTGATGAATGGATAAAGAAGACGTGGTGTATATATACACTAAAATACTATTCAGCGATGAAAAAGAATGCAATCTTAAAATTTGCAACAATGTGGGGGATGGAACTAGAATGTATTATGCTATGGGAAATAAGTCAGTCCAAGATAGACAAACTATAATTTGAGTTATATGTGGAAATTTAGAAACACAGCAGATGAATATAGGGAAAAACAAGGAAAAATAAGAGAGAGGCAAACCATAAGAGACTCTTAAATACAGAGAACAAACTGAGAGTTGCTGGAGGGGAGGTCGGTGGAGGGATGAACTAAATGAGTGATGGATATTAACAGGGGCACTTGTTGGGATGAGCACTGGGTGTTATATTAAGTGATAAATCCCTGAGTTCTACTCCTGAAACCAATGCTACATTGTATGTTAACTATCTTGAATTTAAATAAATAAATTGAATAAATATGTTAAAAAAGGTTTCTATGTCTTTTAAAACTTGTTTTATTTATGCAGTGTTTTCCTAGTTTTATTGAGTTGTCTATTTTTTTCTTTTAGTTCAGTAAGTTTCTTTAAGAGGATTCTTCTGAATTCTTGTACAGACAATTCAGAGATTTCCATTTCTTTAGAAGCACTTACTATGTTCGTTTTCTTTGGTGCTATCATGTTTTTTTAATGATTTGTGATTCTTGTGGCCTTATATTGGTGCCTGTATATTTGAAAAAGTAAGCATATTTACATTCTTTACATTCTTCCCTTTGGAAGAAAATCTCTTTTCTAGTTAACTTGTTGATAGATTCTGGTTGGGCCTCTTCGTGGAGTCTCTGGGTAGTCTTGTTGGTGCAGTCCTCCAGAAGACAGGCCTGATACGTTGGTCAAGAGGTGTCGGGCCTTGTGCTTGGTTCTAGCAGGATTGATCTAGAGCCTGTTTCCCTGGGAATGGAATGGTGTTTGGGTATAAGAGGTGGGCCTGGTGTCAGTATCCACCATAATGAGTTTCGGCCCTTTGTCTGTGGGAGTCAGCAAGGATTCTTGATTAATAGTAGCCAAATTAGAAGTTTTGTCTTTAATATATGGCCTGACACCAGGGCTGACCATTAGCCCAGAAACTGCCTGAGATCCTAGGTCTTCTGCAACAAGCCTGGTGCTATGGTTAACTCAGAACCATGGTGTCATCCAGGAGTCTAGGGCTGCGGGTGCTGGATTAATGACTTGCTCTGCAGGGGGTGGCCTGGTGCTGGTGCTGGCTGAGAACCAGGTTCACAAGAGGTTGTCTGGTAACTGATTTTGATGTGGCTCACCCAGTGCTAGGCCAGTTTATGGGTCGGGGCAAGAGGAGCCAATCGAAATATTGGATCCATGGGGGCTACCATGTTGTGGAGTGGGTTTTGATATTGGATTTCTGGAGACCAGCCTGGGGCAGGAGATCGGGTTCTAGATCCATGAATGCATACCTGATGTTAGAAAAATCATGGTGCTTGTGCAGGAGGAGAAAATCTGAGGTTGTGTCTGTCTCTGAGAGGTGTTCTGGAAGCTGTATCCACAGAAACTGATGAGGTGCTGGGGTAGGCCAAGATATGGTCTCTAGGAGCTTGTCTGGGTCCATATCCTTGGGCACCACTTTGGCACTAGAGTGGGCTAGGGACCTGGGCCTTTGGCACCCTTCCTAGTGCTTTGGACCTTTGGGGCTGGCATGGCACTGGTTTGGGCCTTGTGATTGGGTTCATAGTGAAGTGAGGTATTCATGTAACTCTCTTTCCCCGATGGGAACAAGGTCTCTGTGCTAGGCTGACAGCATATGGGGTAATTTGAGAGTCTTTGCTACCTTTTTTAGTTCATCTTTTCCTATGTCTCTACTCCACCCTGGTGCTTTAATCCCTCACCTGAAATTCTCAGCTCCTGGAAAGGTATGTCTTTGCATAGATAGCTGTTCAATTTGATGTTTCTGTGAGAAGAGCACTAGAAGCTCCTATACCATCAACTTGCTGACATCTCTGCCACCTCAGATTTTCAACATCTGTTAACCTTGGAAATGGGGAATGGAGTTTGTGGGGAGAAAATATTAATATTGTCATTGTACATTTCATATTGTTCCTTGTTTGAATATCCATTACCTTTGAAAATAATTTTTTTGTATAAAACACTGAATCTTTATTATGATCAAAGACATCATAAATGTAGGAAACAGTTTATATACAATGTGATAACACTTTAAAGACATGTTATGGATTCATTATTAGCTTCCAGAATGTACAAAACACTAATATGGTAATATCAAAGCACAAATAACTCAATGAAAGAATGTTCAAAGGAAGACGGTTCTTAGATTTAAAAAAAGAGACAAAATATAAATGTCCAATAATAGTAAATTGATTTCATTACTGTCACAGGAATATAATTCCATATGAGATACCACTTTTAGCCCATCATACTCCCAATAATCAAAAGTCTCCATCATCTTCAATTTTAAGAATAATTTAGTGAAATATACACTGTTTATGAGAGTGTTTTTTTAAAGTTTATTTATTTTGAGAGAGAGACAGAGAGAGCACAAGTGGTGAGGGGCGAAGAGAGAAGGAGAGAGAATCCTATGTAGGTTCCATGCTGTCAGTGAAGAGTGTAGCATGGGGCTCAGTCTCACGAGCCATGAGATCATGAGATCATGACCTGAGCCAAAATCAAGACACTTAACTGACTGAGCTACTAAGGCTCCCTGAGAGTGCAATATTTAATATTATTTTAGCAATATCAAAACCTTAATGTGTATGTTCTTTGATACAGTTTTTGGTGGAAACTATAAAAATACTTCTACATATGAACAAATACACTTTAATAAAGAAAAGTTGTTTGTATGCTAAATGCTTTTTAACAGAAGAATGACTAAATAAATTATTCTTTCATACAATGTAATATGAGGCAGTTGAAAATTGGGAAAGTTCTGTTTTGATATAGAAAAATCATTGTGGGGCACCTGGGTGTCTCAGTCGGTTGAGCGTCCAACTTTGGCTCAGGTCATGATCTCCCCATCCATGAATTCGAACCCCGCTTTGGGCTCTGAGCCTGGCCTGAAGCCTGCTTCAGATTCTGTGTGTGTCTCTCTCTCTGCCCCTCCCCCACTCGTGCTCTGTCTCTCTGTTTCTGAAAAATGAATAAACGTTAAAAATCATTGAGATATTATTAAGTGGATCTAAACAATTAGAATAGTATGTATGATATGATCTAATAATTTATCAAAACGTCTTATCTAAAACTTTACATTACTTTAAATACTATCTGTGTGTACATTTGAATGCATAGAAAAATGTTTAGAAAGTACTGATACTTGTGTTTTCTTCTGGAGATAGGAGGACTGAAGAAAGGCAGAAGTTTGGCAAGAATTTTGTCTATGTTGTTTGGATGGTATACAGTTCCATTATATACATTTATCATTTCTGTAAATACATGAATACGGATCTTCTAAAGAACATAAGAGTGTGTTGAGAACTGAAGAGGTCAACCTGGGGCCAATTGATCACTTAAGAAAACCTAGAAAAATAAACACAGAAATAGACTTCCTAGGAGTTTTCTTAGGGAAAAACTTGTATGAAGATAGAAACATCTGGTCTGTGTGACAGATAAATTTTCATTGTGCAGTCAGACTCATCAAGTATAAAGCAAAATGCCAGTTATCAGCATCTTATGATTTTGATTTTATGTTTATGAAGAAATGCTCTAATAATTGTTTTTCTTATAACCCACCTAGAAGGGAATGTAGGGTGTTATCTTCTCAACAGTCATATCTGACCCATATGATACTTGATTTTCTCAGTATGTTAATAAATTGTCCTTCTGTGTTTTTATCTTTCAGTCTCGTGATAATCAGCGTAATTTCACCTCCTGATTTGGATGAATTATGGGACACAACCAAGATCAGACTGTAGACGTCTAAGACTGAAGGCCATGGCATGGATCCTAGTGAACTCACCAGGGCAAATAAACCCTGTGAGATGGTCCTGCAGCAGCCAATCAATGCTCTTTTGTGATGCCCTGCCCCTGCCATGTAATTTTGAATTTCTGTAAATCCATTAAGGTCCTAATAAATTTTGTCTTTCATTGCTGTCTTAGTTCTATATGACTACAAGCTAAGAAACTGAATTTTTAGTAAATGTTTTGTAATAACTCCAAATACAAAATACTACTAAAATTGGTGTCAAAATATAACCTTTTTTTCCTACAAATGGACTTCTACTAATTTTTTATAGTGTGAAAATATCAGGGAAGTGTGGGGGAAAGGGATATAAAAGGTAAAATCTGGAAATGAATTAAAAGTCCCAGCACATTTTCCTCCCTTTACTGTCAATATTTCTATGCTGTCTATTCTATGGTATCCCTTATTCTTATAGATAATTAATTGTTTTCTTGATCAAGATGGTTGACATGCTTGTTTTTGTAAAATTCCATTTGTAAAATGCTCTGTATTAAAGAAATAAGGTTCTCAATTAAAAGCATTCGTGAAAATTAGAACTTCCAGGGAAGATGCTGAAGTAGGAAGATCCTAGGCTCATCCCATCCCACGATACATGTAAACACACACATCGGTATAAATACTCCAGAAAATGACCAAAACACTGATAGAACAGACTACCCACAGCTAAATGCAGAGAAGCCACATTGGAAAGGTAAGTAAGGGCTGAGATGTAGTTGGGAGACGAACTGTCCCATGGGACTGTCTGAAAGGAGGAAGGAGGTCTCAGGCATGGAGAGGGGAGAGGATCAGACACCACACAAGTCACCCCTAGCATGGGGTATATGCAATAGGAAGATACATACCCATAACATTCGGCTTTGAAAACCAGAGTGACATAACATCACAACTTTTTACAGTCAGTGGGGCTGAACACCTGGAACTTTAAAAATCAGCCAGCTTGTCTCTGAGAGAAGTAGAAGTTGACAGGAAATTGAGTTGCCACCGCTAAAGAGCACAATAACCATTCTCCCGAGATAAGCATAGAAGCAGCAGGTTGAAAAATACCTGGGGTATATGAGAGGGAGATTTGTTTACTAATCTCAAAGTGTATGCTGGAAAGGGAAGCGATCATCAGAAGAGTTTTCTAAGAACAAAAGAGCCACTGGGCACCATTTTCCTTTCCTACCCCGAGTCTAGCTTTGTGGACACCTGTGGGAACCAGGGCAGAACAATCCCCACCTAGCTTGCTAACAGCATACCATGCCACCATGCCCTTCTGTGGGTCTGCCCCATCCAACACAACCCCAGCATTTGTTTTCCAGGGTGGCTGCAGGTCCCCATCTATATGGACCTTGATGGTGCACCTGCATGGACTTTGATGGCATCATGTGCCCTGCCCATGTTCTCTTGAAGACCCACACTATCCACGATGCTCCTGACAGGTGTCCATCAATGGCACCACAAGCATGGCAGTGTGCAAGGAGCCCCAAAAAGGCAAGAACCACCCCAAAGTGACTCTTGGCCGAAAGAGAGGGGAAGTTAGCCACACACAATAGTTTGCAGCCCCAGCAGTGGGTTGGGGCAAAATATCTTCTGACTTCAGGCCTCACCCAACAATGAAAGCTTCTCAAGGAGCAACACAGGGAGAACACACTGCAGTTTGGTGCCATTGCAGCTCTGTCAAACACCAATTCTAACCTAACACAAGCTCAAAGCTGACTTACACTGACCCATTAGCAACAGAAAATAACCTTGTCTAAAACAAGCCAAGAAAAGCATTGCAGATGGCTGGACTGAAGGCAAATGAGGCATAAACACAATAGTAGGGCACACAGTGCACAAAGGGGACACCCCTAAAGTACCAGGTTGTCAAGAGCAGGGGATATTGCACTGTAGAGCACTACAGGACCTCTTCATAAAACCATTACTATAAAGTGCAAGAGACATAGCTGAACTTCCTACTGTATAGAAATAGATGGAGAGTTAGACAAAATGAGGAGATAGGGGAACAGTTCTCAAATGAGGAACAAGGAAAAATCAAAGCAGGAGAGCTCAATAAAGCATAAGTAATATGCTTCATAGAGAACTTAAAGTAATGGTCATAAAAATATTCATTAGACTTCAGAAAGGAGTGGAGAACCTCAGTAACGTCCTCACCAAAGAGATAGAAAACATAAGAACCAACCAGAAATTAAGAACTCAATAACTTGGGGCGCCTGGGTGGCTTAGTCGGTTAAGCGTCCGACTTTCGCTTAGGTCATGATCTCGCGGTTCGTGGGTTCGGGCCCCGCGTCGGGCTCTGTGCTGACTGCCAGCTCAGAGCCTGGAGCCTGTTTCAGTCTGTGACTCCCTCTCTCTCTGACCCTCCCCTGCTCACGCTGTCTCTCTCTCTCCTAGAAATAAATAAAAATATTTAAAAAAAAAAAAAAAGAACTCAATAACTGAAATTTAAAATATACTAGAAGGAATAAATAGTAGCCAGAGGAAGCAGAACAGATCAGGTACTTGGAGGACAGAATAATGCAAAGCAATCAAGTGAACAAGAGGGAAGAAAAAAGAATAAGAAAATAGATTAAGGGGACTGAGTGACACAATAAAGTGTGACATTCATATTGTAGCAATCTCATAAGAAATAGAGATAGAAAAGGGGCATACAATTTATTTGAAGAAATAATAGCTAAATACTTCCCTAATCTGGGGAAGAAAACAAACATCCAGATCCAGGAAGAAATGAGAGCCCCCAAGAAAATCACCCAAGGATCTCCACACTACGACAGATATTTAGAATGGCAAAAGGTAGTGATAGGGAATTCTAAAAGCAGCAGGAGAAAACAGTTACATACAAGGGAAATCCCAGAGGGCTATCAGCAGATTTCTCAGCAGAAACTTTGCAAGCCAGAAAGGAGTGCCATGATGTATTCGAAGTGCTGAAAGAAAACAAAACAGCAACAAGAATACTCTATCCAACAAGGCTATCAATCAGAACAGAGGAGAGATTTAAAATTTTCCTAAATAGGGGTGCCTGTATGGCTTAGTATGTTAAGTTCTACTTCAGCTCAGTTCATGATCTCATGGTCTATGAGTTCGAGCCCCACGTCAGGCTCTGTGCTGATGGCTCAGAGCCTGGAGCCTGCTTCAAATTCTGTCTCTCTCACTCTCTGCTCCCCCCACCCTCATGATCTGTTTTTCTCTAAAAAATAAATAAACATTAAAAATATAATAAAAAATTAAAATTTTCCTAGATAAACAAAGTTAAATGAATTCATACCAGCCTAACAAAAATGTTAAAGGGTACTTTGAATGGAAAGGATAATTGATAAGCAGAAATTAAAAAAAAAAAAAAAAACTAAGCACAAAATCAGCAAAATTAAGTATATTTATAAAACTCAGTCAAGGTATTCTGTGGGGAATGTTAGGAAGTCCCTGAATTTGCATCAGTGGGTCAACAAGTCTTAGTACAAAACCATAGTAATGGGAAGCCACAGGATGAAAGTGTCCAGGATAAATAAATGGTGAAAGCATCTCCAACATAGGGCAAAAGCAGAAAGCTGCTTTCACAGGAAGGAAGCATCCATGATCAGTAAACAGGGACAGCCTCAGCAGGGTGAAAATGTCCAAAGCAAAGCTAATTAGCAAAAGAAAGCTGCCTTGTTGACCCTGAGGTATTATGCTCTGTCTTATCTCCTAGGCAAGTTAAGAGAAACAGACACAACACCTAGTGACTGCCTAAACAGTCCTCTACTCAGCGCTGGGATTTTGTTTTATATTGACCCAAATCCCTAACACCACATATCTTCAAAACCCCCTTTCTCTCACACACATGAGTTAAAGATCACTGTATCATTGTCTGTTACTCCATGTTCATCACATTTGTAAGCCTTCTGATTCTAATAAAAATGGAGTAAAAACCCTTATTCGGGATTTTTGTCTCCTCCCAAACATTAGCCTCTCCCATTTAATTCTGCATATACTCTCTTGATGGGCAAGAGAGAACTCCAGACTCAAAATCTGCAGCAGTATTCATAATATAAAGATGTTAAAATGAAACTATATCCATAAAATGTAGGGGACAGTTTTAAAAACTTAGTGCCTTTAGAATAGTTCAAACGTAAGTGGCCATCAACATAATATAGATTACTATATGCATGGAATGGTATATATAAACCCATGGTAACCACAAATTAAAACTTGTCATAGATATGCAAAAAATAATGGGAATGATGTCAAGCATATTCACTATAAAGAACCATAAAACCACATGAGAAGAGAGTAAGAGAAGAAAAGAACAGGGGACCAAAAAAAGAAAAAAGAAAAAAACAGCCATAAGACAAGTAAAATGGCAATAAGTACATAGCTATAAATAATTATTTTGAATGTATATGAATGAAATTCTTCCACTGAAAGACATAAAGTGAGTGAATAAATAAAATACCAAGGCCCATCTATATTCTGCCTTCAACAAATTCACATTAGGACTAAGGACACATGAAGACTGAAATTGAAACGATAGAAAAACATTTATCATGCAAATGGAAGTGAAAAGAAAGGTAGGGTAGCAATACTGGAAAAAGACTTTAAAACAAATATTGTAAAAAAAATAAAGTTAACATGTAACGATAAACACAACAGTCAAACAAGAAGATATGACAGTTGTAAATATTCATGCACCAAATTGGGAGCACCAAATACATAAAACAACTATTAACACATATAAAGGAAGAAATCTATAGTCATACAGTAATAATATGGCACTTTGACACCTAACTTACATCAATGAATAGATCATCCGGACAGGAAAATAACAAAGAAATGGTGGCCTTGAATGACACATTGGACCAGATGGATCTAACAGATATATTCACAACATTTCACCCAAATACAGAATACCCATTGTTTTTATATGATTTACAAAGGATATTTTATTTTTATTAGATTTTTAATTTTAATTCCAATATAGTTAACATAGTGTTTTATTAGTTTAAGGCATACAATATAGTGATTGAACAGTTCTATACATTACTCAGTGTTCATCATGATAAAAGTACCCTTTAATCTTCATGACTTATTTCACCTATTATCCTACCTACCTCCCCTCCAGTAACCATCAGTTTCCTCTCTATAGTTTATTTGTCTCTCTATGATTTTCCTTTGCTAGTTTGTTTCAGTTTTTTTATGTTTTATTTATTTCTGAGAG